TCTAGGTGCAATGCAAGGGGGTCTTTTTAAAGGCCTTTTCTTATCTGTAACCATGGAAAGGCCCATCCAGTGGGGCTTGTTTTAAATGGTTCACTTTCTATTTTAATCCCAGTCTTCTTACTGGTTGGTTAGCAGAAAGAGGGAAGAACAGGATCAGATGTTTGAGGGCAAAGGTCAGAGCTTAGTGACATCGGCTTCTGCAGAGCAGTGGGACCTGACCCCGGGCCGCCATGCCAGTCACCCGTTTCCAAGAAACCAGGCAATGCCCAGGCTGCTTAGTGTCACTGGAAGGGTGTCTGTCTGACATGGGAGGGGAGGAGGAGGGGTCTGTGGATGAGAAAAACCCCACCCTGGGAGGAGGAGGTGGCTGACCTAGTGCTGAGGTTGAGCCCAGTGACTACCCTGGGGAGGGGACATTAGGGACCCAGTCACCGGGAGCTGAAGCATTGATGAGCCTTCCAAACTTACCGGAGGTCCGGGCGGCCCCTCTGGCCCCGGTGGCCCAGGAACCTAGAAGTGAGAGGGAGATGGTTAGCCCACCGTGGCTGTTAGGCTCTAAGTGGCCCCGCCTTCCACATGGCCTGGGGTCTGGCTGGAGACTGCAAAGCCGAAGACGGAACTGCCTGGCATGCAGTCTCCCAAAAGAAGGCTTAGAACATGTCACAAACTCATGGCAGCTCATTAGCCTTTACAATGTTACAAACAAACCAACTATTGCTGGCAAATGTCCTTGAAACATCTACCCGCCTTAGATTTTTTTTAAACTAGAAAATTTGGCAGCACTGAGTTCTCGTTCCTGCCTGTCAACAAATGCCTGGAGCTGAAGGAGAGCTTTCCCCTCCAGGTGGGCCATGAGGTCTTCCATCCGACCCAGGCCCCACCGCTCCCTATTGTATTTAACCCAAACCTGGTGTTTGTTTGTTGCATACCTGGCCCTTGTAGGCATTTGAATTTGAGACCCTTGGCTTAGAGGAGCAGAGATTGGTTATCTGGAATTGGGGGAGGCTGAGATATTGCCTCAAGTCCCCCTAAATTTGTAACAGAGACTGCTGGTCTCTGTTTCCCTTCAGGGCAGGTTGAAGTAGAAGAGATGTGGCTGGGACAGTGCAGTTGGGGACCCCAGGGCAGTCTTCCTCCCTAAGGGGATGGTATTCAGTGCAGGTTCTGTCTCTGACAAAGATGGACACCCATTTGTCTAAGCAGCCTCCCAAGAGGTGGAAGGAGACCTGCCTGCTCCTCTCCGAGCTGTTCACCCCACTTCAGCTTTGGGGCTCTTCTCACCTCCCCAGGGATGGAATCCCCTGGGTGTGACCATGGTGGAGACCCTCTGTCAGGCCACCATCGAGGGAGGCCCCGCACTGGGCAGATGGAGACCCTGACATCTCTTGGACCTGTGGCCCTTTCAGCTCCAGGACATACAATCTCCTTGCAGGGAACTCAATCTTTGGAAACTCTACTTAGAAAAAAATTACTGCTTTTTCTTCTTCTTATAAATAAATAAGTCATGTATCCCGATTGTGGTAGTGGTCATACAAATCTATGCATGTATTAAAATTCACAGACGTGTACGCACACTTCCCCCAAAGTCAACTTTACTATATAATAATTAAAATATTAAAAAATTTAAAGTAATGCAAACCCATTAAAGTATTTTATAAATTAAAAAAAATTGAAAGGAGGCGAAGGAATGAATATCTGAGTACTGCTAATATTTTGCTTTATTTCCTTCCACTCTTTTGGTACAAATCTATGCATGTATTAAAATTCACAGATGTGTATGCACACTTCCCCAAAAGTCAACTTTACTGTATAATAATTAAAATATAAAAAAATTTAAAGTAATGCAAACCCATTAAAATATTGTATAAATTAAAAAAAATTAAAAAGGAGGTAAAGGAAACTTATGATATTGTATATCAATATATATATTTCATTTCACATATATATACATATATACATATATATATGTATGTATGTATGTATAACTTGATTCTCTGCTCTTTTTCATTTAACACAAAACCCGCTTTTCCATTTTTTGAATGTTGCCCACAAGCCTCCATTGCATGTCAATGTGCTATTCATTGAGTGCAGAGTTGCTACTGAGCCAGGGCTCGGAGCAGTGCTTGGCACAGGGACGCTCCCAACATGAGGACTATTATTACCATCAGCATTATTACCAGAAGTTATTTAATCACTTCCTTCTTGTTAGAGATGTAGGCTGTTTCCAATTTTTACTTTAAATACGTCTGGAAGGAACACTTTGGGGGATAATTCTTTTCCTGAATTTCAGAGCATTTCTGTAGGAGGCTATCCATCTGCAAGTAAGTAACATGCTATACAATCAGGTCTGTGTCACTAATGCAGATGGGGCTTGGTGACACTGAAGGTGACAGGAGCCAGGGGACTTCTTCAGGGACTGAGAAGGCGTGGCGGTCTCTCCCTTAGGGCAGTGGTGTCTGGGGGGCCCAGGTCTTCCCGCCAAGCACCTGTGGCGGTCTCTCCCTTAGCTCCGCCGTGGTGTCTGGGGGGCCCAGGTCTTCCCGCCAAGCACCCTCTCCCTCATGTGTCCTTGACCTCTTGCTTTCCTGGCTCTTTCCCTGGATGCTACATATGTGAACCTGGCTTCTATCCTCTTATGCCACTGTTCCCTCCTCTTCCCTTCATCACCACACCTCTCAGAGAATAATGCCTCCCTCTCTGGGAAGCCCACTCTGCAGCTTCTAGGCAAATTCCTACAGAGTCTTCGAAACTCTGCTCAAATGACCCGTTTTGGGCATGCTCACCAGTCTCCCTGAGTTGGTGCCATTCTAGGACCCACTACTGGGGACAGTTTGCTGCACAGGCTCAGCCCCGGGAATGAAATATGGTGGGTGCCTGGTGAAATGTCACTGAGGGACTTGATTAATGGGGAGACCGTGGAGCAGACTGGGGGCTCCATGGCTGGCCACTGTGGTGCTCAGTGAACGTTCCCCTCCTTGCCCCCGTCCTGAGCAGGGCAGCTCTGAGTTTCATCCTAGATCATGGAAATTCTGCCCACACTGGAGAGACCAGGTGTGATGAGGTTCCTGCCCAGGACACACAAGGCAGAGCAGGCACCACCTACCTCTACTCCTGTCTGCCCATGAACCCCCGGGGGACACAAGGCAGAGCAGGCACCACCTACCTCTACTCCTGGGTCACCCTTTTCCCCAGGTTCTCCTTTCTCCCCCTGTGGGCACAAAACACCATGGCGTGGATGCCAGCACTCAGGGGAGCCTGGGACAGACACACCCTCAAACCTGTGACAAACCAGACCGGAGGTAGACTAGGCCCAGGCGTTGGCAAGGAACACCTCAGAGGCTATGGGGGTGGTCAGCCTGAGGGACGGAGATGAGGCAGGTGGCCGGTGACCCCTGCTTCTAAGAACTTGAGTTTTCAGCATGTGGGAGGAGAGGCTGGCTTTCTCTATGGGTCCTGCAGGGCACAGGCCCTGGGGTGGACCCACAGAGTATGGCATATGGCAAAGGCGATTATGTGACCAGCTTATGTTTATAGTTTACAAATGATAACCTATGACATATGTTAAGATTATTACACATGTTACACACACACACAGAGTTCTGTCTTGCCAGCACACATGGAGAGACTCCTGCTGGCCTTGGCCTTGAAGAAACAGGCTGCTATAATGTGAACTGCCCACTGTGGGGAAGGCCGTGTGGCAGCCTCTGGGAGCTGCGGGGCCCGTCCTGCTATAGCAGGAGCTGATGATGCCCACAGCAGCGAGCCTGGGTGGGGTCCCAGCTCTAGATGAGAACGCAGCTGGCCGACACCCTGATGCAGCCTCGGGAGGCCCTGACAGAGGACCCAGCTGGGACTGGCCTGGACCGTGACATCTTAAGCGCGTGTTGTTTTAAGCTGCTGAATTAGTGGTGGTTTTTAAAACGGCAACAGAAATGAATAAGGCTCCAGAGGCAGAGCGAGGGCCAATGGGGGGATGGTGACGAGGGAACTTGCACCCCAAATCTAGGAGCACTGCCTTCAGCGTGGAGATGCCCCCCCCAAGAAGGGGATGAGTTGGAGGCGATGAGCTGAGATGGTGATGAGGGAACTTGCACCCCAAATCCTTCAGCGTGGAGATGCCCCCCCAAGAAGGGGATGAGTTGGAGGCGATGAGCTGCCTCCTGTTACAGCTGAGTGAGGTGGCCGCAGGCCGTCCCAGGTGGGACTGGTTGGCCTCTGAGGTTCTTCCCACTCAAAAGAGGAGGATTCTGAGTCTAAGGTCCTGGCACCTTTGCACTATGTTGGCTATGAAGACAGGCCGTCATGCTGTGGGCCGAGGGAGTTTATACTCCCTTGTTTATACTCAACTGCCCTCAGGAAGTATCTGCTCATCAAGAGGACCCCCTTCCCAGGCCAGGCCGGCTGGGGGTTAGTGCGGCCTCACTGCAGTGCCAGGCACCTGCTAGGCTGCCAACCACGTGAGGGGCACCCCTGCTCAGGTGCCCCTGTCCGCAGCTGCCTGCTGACCACCTGGATACCCAGCCCTCGGGCCTTACTGTAAATCCCGGGAGCCCGATTGGGCCAGGCAATCCCGTCGTTCCGGGTCTCCCTGGGCCACCTGGTTCTCCTTTCTCCCCAGTTGGGCCATCTAGACCCTAAGGACCGACAAAGATCTCTGTTAGTCAAGTGCAAGGTCGTCACGCTGAGCATCTGTGACCAAATGTGGCATGCACGCACGCGCCCTTCCTCCACGGGCCGGTGTCTAGGATGGTGACCATTCAGACGGGAGCCACTGATGCCAGAGAAGGCCCCCAGTCAAGGCAGTGTCCTGGCTGGAGTGGGCTACGACCCCGTTTTTGTACAAGCATTCTCCGTGGTGAGAGGGCTTCTGCATACTTTCCCAAGAGGCAGTTTTCTACCCATGACTTCCTCTCCCCCCAACATCCTAGCGAGGTTTGCAGGGGAGGCATTCTAAGCCACTGCAGAGACAGGGACCGGGGCTCTGCCAGGCTCAGGGACTTTCAGGGGGACACAGACAGAAGATGACAGAACAGGACCCAGGTCTCTTGAGCGGGGACACTGGCCTTGGTAAACCAGGGGAAACCAGGTGAGTCCCCTTCCCCCAGCTCCCAGGTTAGCAGCCAGGCCGCAGGGCTGA